CTTACACCAACATCAGTGACTTACACCAGCATCAGTGACTTACACTAGCATCAGTGACTTACACCAACATCAGTGACTTACATCAGCATCAGTGACTTACACCAGCATCAGTGACTTACACCAGCATCAGTGACTTACACCAGCATCAGTGACTTACACTAGCATCAGTGACTTACACCAGCATCAGTGATGTATCATCATATCGTTATTGTCTCGCGCAGCATGAGTCTCAGCAGCCTCGAGGACAGTCAGGAGTCGGGCGACGAGTGTTACCATGACGCCGCCGACCTGCCAGCATCCGGCGGCGAGCGGAGGGAGGATGCGCGTGACGGCGCGGCCGCACGCTCCGGCTTCCGCCCGGACCGGCGCGGCTCACTGTCTGACACAGCCCTCAATGTAGCTGGTGAGTATCACGCGCAGCCACCGCTCTCTGTTATCCCCTAAGGGGGGGGGGGGCAAGTGGAGGGCAACAGCAGTGAAAGCATCACTCACATTCTGTTATAACATATAACCTGTGAAAGCCATCCTGTTCCTTAATCCATTGGGAAGGTAACTCGTGAAAGTATCTGTTACCCTGTTGAAGCCATCTTGTTCCTTAATCCCATAGTTGGGGGGGGGGAGAATGCATGAAGCTACCCTCTTTGGCTATCCTGTGGATCAGGGAGAGGGGCATGTGAAACTCTCCTGTTTGGTTATCCCGTGAATCAGGGAGAGAGGCATGTGAAGCCATCTTGTTTCGTGGGCACGGATGTTTAGTCATGCACTGCTACGCCGTTATCCTACAGACGGGTGGAATTACGTAAACAGATCTTGCCTGTGTCGATGTGCTACGTGCGGCTGGAGGCTTGCTATGCCTGGCTGACGTGAGTTTTTTGGTGACCTCCTTCACAGGTAGCAACTCGCTGCGCATTCCCTCTGATTCCACACTGCCACCGCAGCAGAAGCAGAAGCAGCAGCAGCAGCAGCAGCCGCTGCCGACGTCCGAAGCATTGAGACGAGCGTCCGTTCACTCCATACGCTCGCTCGGCGATGTGGAGCTGGAGATAGAGACCGACGAACAGGTGAGACCGACGGACAGGTGAGACTGACGAACAGGTGAGACAGACGAAATATACCACGACCGCCCGCCATGCCTCACGCACGCATGCACGCACGCACGTACACGCGTACAGTGCTACGTGATGCTGCTTTCGCAGCTTTACATTATCATACATACATTTATGGCATAATTTTTAAACACGTCGTTGTTCATACTCGTCTGCGCGCCTGCGCACGCGCCGAGCTAACAACGACTTCCTGCCTAATGGCAGCGCGCTTCCTGCATCTGACATCTCATAGGATGTCGCGTGCACGCACGCACGCACGCACGCACGCACGCACGCACGCACGAGCCTGCCTGCCCGTGCTGTCACCACACGTCCTCTCTTTCTCTCTCATGGCACGCCATAGCTAACACCGTACACGGCGCCTCGCAAGAATAGCGACTGTATAGATAGATAGAGATCAACACACGCGGCGGATTTCGTCTGCGATGGCGCAGTGCGCACAGGGACGGTGCTGATGCTGCGCGTGCGGTCAGTCACTGCACAAGGCTGGCTATACGTGCTGCTGTAGGGAACCCTGCAGGTGTGGCACCACCGCGCAGCGAGTCCGTGCAGCAGCCACACATGTACAGAGAGTAGACATCGCGCAGCAGCAGCAGCAGCCACTCAGCTGTAGACTACTCAGGCTGTGCGCCACTCAAGCCCGACAGGTGGCAGCACGGTGCGCACGCGACGACGTGCCACGGCAGTTGGTGCCGCCGCCGCCACCACCGCCGACAACGACAGAGGGGTGTAGATGATGAGGGGGAAGAGGTTCAAGTCGGTGTTGACGCTGTTTCAGGGACGGGGACTGCACCAGAGGTTCAGCACGTCGTGTCCACAGCTAGCCGATGTTCTCCTATCGTCGTCTTCATCGTCGCAGCCGACCAGCAGAGGTAAGCAGCCGCAATCTCACAGTGAAGCCAGAGTAAACGCGAGGCGACGTACAGTTGCGTGCTACAGTTGCGTGCTACAGTTGCGTGCTACAGTTGTGTGCTACAGTTGCGTGCTACAGTTGCGTGTTACAGTTGTGTGCTAAAGTTGCGCGTGCTAAAGTTGCTTGTTGCAGCAGTGTGCTAAAGTTGCGTGCTAAAGTTGCTTGTTGCAGCAGTGTGCTACAGCTGTGTGCTAAAGTTGCGTGCTACAGTTCGTGCTGCAGGGTTGTGTGCTACAGTTGCGTGCTACAGTTGCGTGCTGCTGCGTGCTACAGTTGCGTGCTACAGTTGCGTGCTGCTGCGTGCTGCAGTTGTGTGCTAAAGTTGCGTGCGGCAGTTGTGTGCTGCAGTTTGTGCTGCAGCTGCGTGCTACAGTTGTGTGTTACAATTGCGTGCTAAAGTTGTGTGCTGCAGTTGTGCTGAAGTTGTGTGTTGCAATTGCATGCTACATGTGCGTGTTACAATTGCGTGCTCCAGCTGTGTGCTGCAGTTCGTACTGCACTTGTGTGCTGCAGCCTGCAGTTCGTGCTGCAGTTCGTGCTGCAGTCGTGTGCTGCAGTTGTGTGATACAGTTTCATGATGCATGTGTTGTATGAATGTGCTAAACGTGTGATGGCAGTATGCTGAGAGTGTGCTACAAGTGTGTTGCGAGTGTGAAACCCTTACGAGCAGTAGCCTGTGTAAGAGATGGTGAGCAGTAAATTTCGCAATAGTGTTTCTCCTTTTTATCGGGCTTCGGTTTTAACCAGCCTTGCGTGTGGAACGTGTGTTTGTTGGCTAGGAGGCAACAGCACATTCGTTTTCATCAGAAAAAAAACACGAGGCAAGTCGCTGAGAGCGTACGAGTACGTTCCTTCCATCGCTTAGCAACGGCGCGACTGCTGCTGCCGTCACGCTTTCAATGGAATTTAGAAAGAGCGGCAGTTACAGCCAGTTAGTGGTGTAAAACTGCACGTTACTAGCTCCATTAGCTAGTTAGGCTTCCATTATCTAATCTTTGCCGTATTTTATTAGCTATTCGTGTCCTATATCTTAGTAGCTTGACATGCCCCATACCTCATGCCCCATACTCGTTAGCTAGGTATGTCCCATACTTCATTAGCTAAGCATGCCCCATACTTCGTTAGCTAATCATGCCCTATACTTCATTAGCTAGGTATGCCCCATACTTCATCAGCTAAGCATGCTCCATATTTTGTTATCTAGGCATGCCTCATACTTCATCAGCTAAGCATGCTCCATATTTTGTTATCTAGGCATGCCCCATACCTCATTAGTTAATCATGCCCCATACTTCGTTAGCTAAGCATGCCCCATACTTAATCAGCTAAGCATGCCCCATACTTCGTTAGCTAGGTATGCCCCATACTTTATTAGCTATAAGCATCCTCGCATGCTTTTCGTATCATTGGTGCCTTTCTTTCCTCTCCCACCCCCTCCCTTTCTCTCTCTTTCGGTCTTTCTCTTTCTCTTTCTCTGACTTTCTGTCTCTGTCTCTCTCTCTCTCTCTCTCTCTCTCTCTCTCTCTCTCTCTCTCTCTTACACTCTCTCGCTCTCCTCTGTCTCTCCCCCCTCTCTCTCTTTCTCTCTCTCGTGTCTGTATTTTCCCGAGTACTCAGGTATGGCTGTTCACGGCAAAGCCAGTTTCCTGCAGGTGTCCACATGCGCTCGTTCATGTGATAGGTTAGGGGAGGGTGCATAATTTAAATGGCTCTCTGACGTTTGCTGTGATGTCATTGACGTCTCGCTGGTTTTATGAAATGTTAACGCATTGTAAAGTTGTGGCGAGCGCTAGTTGCAGCGCTTTTATTGGTAAATCACACACGTACTTACGATGTCTGATATCTCATCGACGGATGTATATAATAACTATCCATGCGGAAGTTTCCTGCTACGTGCACTAGGTGGCAGCAGTTTGGGTCATGGCCATCCGTAACTATCTATACAGTTATTTCTTACTCCGTGCACACCAGTTGTTAGCAGGTGGGATGGCAGATGAGAGAAGGGGGCTACAGCCACTTTTTCGGTGGAAGCGTAGCCCGCCTCCATCCTTCAAGGAAAAATTATCTTTTATCTTTAAAAAAAAGGAAAAAGGGGGACTTTACGAGAGGACTTTTGAGTGAGTCTTCATCACGCTGCACTATTGGTGGTAATTTGTCAAAACGATAATGGGCTGCGTGGGCCTCCCCAACTATCTATGCAGATCTTTCTCACAAGCTGGGCGATGGCCATCTATGACAGTCTATTACAGATATTTCTTGTTTTCTTCACTAGGTGGCAGCAGGCCAGGGTCGATGTACGACCAGCAGGACGGCAGCGAGGAGTCGGAAGGTTGCCAGGGCGACGGTGAAGCTGACGTGCGAATCTGCGTGACGTGCGACGGTACCCCTGGCAACGGGAAAGGTGAATATGTGAAGCCAATGCAGAAGCATCAAGCGTGCAAAAAAAATTATGCATCAATATGATTACTACAGTGAATCCACATCATGGTGTGTCTATATCGTCAGTGCCGTGTTGCATCTATATCGTGGTCATAGTACGTCCATATCATGATAATGGTACATTAAATTAAATTAATTAATTAGTATAGTGAATCAATATCCTGACCATGATAGAACTATATCATGAATGAAATCTGTTGACTTGTTAGCCACAGTGCATTTATGTCATGGTGTGTCAATAACATGGCCACTATGCTTCTATATCGTGACCACACTGCATCGCCATGGCCACCAATTGATTCACATTATACGGGAGTCGTTTAATAACCAGCTAACACATCAGTGAAGCGATGGGATACACGTCGGTGGCTCGCATGCACGATTCGGCCTTTGTAATTATTTTCCAACGCGTAAACGACGTGTAGAACTCGTAGCGCACCACACGCGGTTCCATGACGTCATTCTCACCGAGCGTTTTTATACCGCGGTCGCTAGCAGATGATGCCGGCTCGCTCGCCGTCGACGACGACTGGAGGCTGCGCAGACGCAGCTGGTGCGTCAACTCTCACCACGTCACGGACAAGGAGCCGCAGAAGTCACGCAGGTTAGGCAGTGCTGCCACTTTATACTTTTTTTAAAGTATTATGATTTTTTTTAAGAAAATCAACTTTTAATACTTCTTAGCTCACTTTGACATCGTCAAGCTGAGCTATTGCCATGGGTCGTCGTCTGTCGTACGTCCGTCCGTCTGTAGAGGCCGACAGACAGGTGAGACAGACGAACAGGTGAGACCGACGCACAGGTGAGACAGACGAACAGGTGAGACAGACGAACAGGTGAGGCCGACGGACAGGTGAGACAGACGAGCAGGTGAGACCGATGGACAGGTGAGGCCGACAAACAGGTAAACCCAAAGATCAGGTGAGACCGACGGCCAGGTGAGGCTGACAAACAGGTAAACCCGAAGATCAGGTGAGACCGACGAACAAATGAGACCGACGAACAGATGAGACCGATGAACAGGTGAGACCGACGGACAGAATGTCATGCTACACATTGCATGTCTACGCATCGCATGAACGCTATGTAGGCACCAGGCTTCAATCTACTGTCCTAATAACCATAGAACAGATTTAACGCAGTTAAAGGCCAGCAGCAGGGTTCATAGTAGTAAGACACATGTTGTAATAAGGACTTATAAGACCCTTTCTAAAGGCTAAAATAAGACTTTTTTACGCGATTTCTGATAGATCACCGACTATTAAAGTACACTAATAATATTTATATAGACAATTGCACAGCAGATTTCGCCGAAATTCAACAGAGAAAATGTTGGGAAATGGTCTTTTGGCAAAAAATAAGGACTATTAAGTACTTTTCTAAGATTTAACCAAAAATATTTACTAATAAGGGCCCTTATTTTATTTTTGGCAAAATAAGTACTTATAAGACTTTGGAAGACCCGCTACGAACCTTGATCAGTAACTAAGCCTTTTGAATTTTCGCTTACTTTACCGTATTTTTATAGTAACCAGATTATGATTGGCTGCTCACTCGCCGCGTTGTCGTAGTAACCAGGCTGTGATCGCTCTACTCTGTAGGACACTGTGTTGAACGGGAGCTTACGGCGGAAGAGCGTCTGTGTGACGGGCATGACGCAGACGGCGGCGCCCTCTGCAGCACTGCAGAAGGCGGCGAGTGCGGATGGCGCAACGCTCGCCTCGCTAACCAAGTGTACATCCGTGCCGTCGTTACACAAAGCTGTCGTGGAGAAGGCAGCCTCGGAGAAACGTGCAGCGTCCAAGATGGTTCACAAAGGTATCGCCGCGATGTGGTCACCATGGTTCTCCCATCCCCCAGCCCTGAACTTCCTCACCTCCCCCTCCCCTACCCGTCTTTACTCCTCTGTGGACTTCTCTGCTGCAGAGGGAGAGCGAGGCGGGCGAGAGGGAGAGGCGAGGGCGGCGAGAAAGGGAGAGGCGGAGGGGCGGGAGAGAGAGGTTTGAGGGGGCGCGGAAGGAGTAGGAGAGGGCCGAGGGCGTATGGGAAGGGGAGGGAAGCAGAGGGAGAGGCGAGGGGACAGTAGGGGAGAGGTGAGGGGGACCAGGAGAGAAGAGGCAAGAGAGGCAGGAGGGGAGAAGAGGACTCACAGAAAAATGGGGAAGGGAAAGGGGGAAGGGGGAGGAGGAGAGGTTCATAGTATATGGGGAGGGGGGGGAGGAGAGGGTTCATAGTATAATGGGGAAGGGGATGGGAAAAGCAGAGAATCGGCCAGAGAATAAAGACGGGTAGCGGGAGGGAGAGGTGAGAGAAGATTCAGGGCTGGGGGATGAGAACCAGGTTACACATCCGCGGCGACTACCTTTGTGACGCATCT